TGGGTTTGATATTGTAATTTCTGGACATCTGGTGACACGTGGGCCACATGACTCAGGACTGGTGCCTGAAAAACCAGGACCAGCAACTGCAGGATTACTGGAAGAAAAAGAGTTTACCCACTGGAAATATACAAAGATTGGAACAGTGGTGGTATTCAGCCAGTTCGCAATGGATCGGGCAAACCGGTAGCAAGAATTTGGTGTGGGTCGTCAAACTGGTAGTAAGTTCTGGCTGGCCACGCCCGCCTGCCTGACATTTGCCTAAGGTATTTCTTTCTTTTTTTCCCCCTCCCGACAATCAGCTGTAGATAAGATCAGCTGTGCCGGGATTTCCCTTGCTGAGGCCCAGGAAAGCAAAAAATGGAGGGAGGAACTCAGCCCCCCCTCCATTTTTTGCCTTCCAGAGTCCCAGAGGAGCCTTAGGGGAGCAAAAACGCCCCCCAGAGGCTTTTCTGAGGCTTGGAGTGAGCTTGGAGGGGTGTTGCATGCCTATCCCATGCTCTGTTCCTTTTTTTTCCAGAGCCCCAGAGGAGCTTTAGGGGAGCAAAAACAACCCCCCCTAGAGGGTCTGTGGCTAGGAAGCTCCCAACAACAGGTGAGGGCTGCAAAAAAAGCCACACCCACCCAGTCACTTGGCCACGCCCACCAAGCCACACCCACAGAACCGGTAGTAAAAGTTTTTGAATCCCACCACCGGATTGGAAACAAAGAAATAATGATTTGCTATTACAAATCAAGTCCAATAGGAAGAGGATACCTGAAAAGAATGCACCAATTGAAAATTGATTAATATCTGGCAAAATCTACCTGATAATCAAGAGGCAACACCAGGCAACTATAGATCAGTTACCCTACTTATCAACAACTTTCAAATTGCTGGTTTGGTAGCTGATGCAGCTTCTAGTTGAAAACAACCTCTTTCCATGTGAGCAGAAACGAAATCACTCTTTCAGTAGATAAACAAAAGTTCAGTTCCTAATTGAAAAGTTTGGATTTTGATTTTGGAAAACTGTAAGGAAAGGAAGGAAGACCAACTCAAACTTAATTTGAATTGATTACAAGAAAGCATTGGACTCCCTGCCACATAATTGGATAATCAAGTGTGCAGAAATAATAAAAGTCAGTTGAAACATCAAAAACTTTGTGGAAAAAAATTGACGACACAATGGAAGACACAGTTGATGGTTTATGGTGACAGACTGGGAGAGATTAATATCAAGAGAGGAGTCTTTCAAGGAGACTCAGTCTCACCCCTACTGTTTGTCACGGCATTGATTCCTCTGTCAACAATACTAAATAAATTACACCATGGCTATCAAACATCAAAAACATTTGCTAGGCTGTCCCTATTGCCTTTACATGAATGTGATTTGAAGCTGTATGGAAAAATACCATCTTAAGTATAATCACTGCTGAACACTGTCCAAAGATACTACCAAGATATTGCAAATGAATTTTGCATGGACAAATGTGCCATCTTTATCATCACCAAGGGGAAAAATCATAAAAAATTGAAGGAATCAAGATGGTCTTTGGAAATATCAAGTGTCTGGATGATGACGATCACTACAGCTTCCTGGGAATCCTTCAAGCTGACATCAAGCACACTGAAGTCAAGAAGAAGGTTGGTAGTGAAGAAGGTTAGAAGAATGAAGAAGATCTTAAAGTCCCAACTCAGTGATGAAAATATCATTAAGGTGATTGATGCCTGGATAATAATGCCTAGATAATTAGCCTGGATAAATAATCATTAGATACACAACTGGAATAGTGGACCGAACTCAAGCAGAGCTAAAAGCCCAGGATAGAAAAACCAGAAAAATAATGTTAATAATCATGCCGTTCATCTGTGCAGCAACTTTGACAGACTATTTGGGTATGAAATGTTGCAAGTACAGCAGATAGATGAAGAAAAAAGGGCACTGGAAGAATGTCTGTAGGACAGTGAGGAAGATGCACCATTAAAATTTACTAAATATATCATGAGGTCAAATTAGCCTTTAAGAAAGACCAAATGAAGAGAAGAAAAGAGATATGGCAAGGCAAAGTACTACCTGGCCAGTATAATAAACAAATAAATAATAAAACTATCAGGCAAAGCAGATAACAACAAGACCTGGCAATGACTAAGAGCAGGAAAATTGTTGAAAGAGATAGAGGGGCTGATTCTGTCTGCACAAGACCAAACCTTAAAGACAAACAAATATGAAATCAAAATTGAGAAGACAGCAACAAATAGCAAATGCTGTCTCTGTAAAGAGGCTGAAGATATAGTGGACATCTATTCAGTTGCTGCAAGAAGATTGCAGACTGATTTCAAATAACAGCATGACAAACTTAGCAACAGCGGTGCATTGGAATATCTACAAGAAATAACTCTATAAACGAAAACTGGTGGGACCACCCAACAGCATGTGCGTGTGTGTGCCTGCCTGCCTGTCTATCTTTCTGTCATATGCTACCTATTCCCAGGTTAATCCATCTGGACCAAGCATCCCAGGAGAAATTGCTGATGTTCTGCAATGTACATAGTGCTGAGAGTGGCAGGCGCTGAGGCTCACAGTGACAGAATCGTCTTACAGTATAGGCCCTTGCTTGGAAATCATACTCATTTCTAGCTTTTGGGACATTATTGAAAATGAATTTGTTCTGGAAATATGAAGAAGTATAATAAAGCACCTAAGAGGGACTAAAGTGTGCTTAGTTTTTGTGATAGCAACCCTAATTTTAAAAATCATCTTAATTTTGCCCTGTCCACAGATAAATGTCCACAGATTTTTTTTGCTTTGAGAAGCCTCTTTGGATATGCATAATTACCTATGAGATTCTTTGCCTTAGGCCTATCTGTAAAGTTCCACATTTCACATATTTTTCTTCATATAAATTGCTTATATAAACTACCATATCTTTCGCACTATAAAATGCTCTGGACTATAAGACGCACATTACCTTTAGAGGAGGAAAACAAGAAAAAAAATCTGTCTCTACCTCCCAGCTTCCATTTGGTATTCATCTGGCTAGCGTCCTTGCAGCAAACAGCCTGATCAGCTTCAGCACATTATCGCAGCTCCAGCACATGGTTCGTCAGGGCTCCGCTCCATTGCACCTACCACTGATCAACTGAGTTGAGCTGCCACCGCCGCCAGGGAACACTGGAGCCTTAATGATCATGTAATCTCATTCTTTATTATTATAAAACTCAATGATCATGAGGTATTGTGACTAAACTTGAACCATTGTTCCAATGAATCAAATTCCATAATGTAGCTAGTGGATATTATAGGTGTTCTTATTTTGGTAGCTTCCAGCATAACAGCAATTTTCAATAGAAAACAGGGCAAGATGTCATTTTAGATATGTGTTTATTTATAAAACTAAATATTATTATAGTATACTCAGCTTTCAGATAATAGGCGATAAGAGAATAGAGAATAAAGCCAGTACATGGTTTTCTGGTTTGTAATATTACATATGCCATATTTTTCACACTATAAGACGCACTTCTCTCCCCCCCACAAAAGTGGGTGGAAATGTCTGCGCATCTTATAGAGTGAATATTGCGGTGGGAGAGGAGGTTGGTGTGCTGCTGCCACCGGGGAATGCTGGAGCCTTTGCTGCCGAGCAGCTGATTGGTGGTTGAATCGGTCTCCCGGAATACCTCTGATCAGTTGTTCTAGGCAGCGGGGATTGCTATGGGTGCCTATTGCTGCCCACCGCCGATCACTGCTGCCTGGTCACCGTCCACTCTTTTGGCGCCAATCACCACCACCAATTGGCAGTGAATAGGCGGTGGCAATCAGGCAGATGGTGAACGAATCTAATTTATTAGAACAATGGATCAAGTTTAGCTACCACATCATATGATCATTGAATTTTATAATAATAAAGCATGAGATTACATGATCATTAACTGAGTTTTATAATAAAGCATGAGATTTAAACTGACAAATCAGTACTAAAATGAGGGAAGCTATAATGAGGCACGCAGCTTCAAATCATAATTTACCTATTCACTTGTAACTTCAAACTTGCTGCTTATATGTTCATTTTTTCCCTTTGAAATTACATATTCCATGTTTAAACAGAAAAACATTGACATTTTGATATTTAGTATTTAAATTATCAAAATTTTAAAACTATTTTAAGTTTAATAAATCATACAGGACTTTTCAGTAAGTTTAAAGTTTGACTGTATTTATCAATACTACTAAAACCCCCTTTGTCATGACTTTTAACTGGGCAAATGGTGGATAGGATAACAATTTTTGAACCAAGGTGCCACAAATGGGCTAACATACAAAAATGTATCCAAACTTTGGGAATGACACCTAGAGGATTGAAATTAGGGGAAGTTGTGGCTGCTTCAGTGCTTCTGGCTATTACTGCTGCAATCATGTGATCGTCATTTTCAACATATTGTGATAATTTCCCAGCTAATCTCACAATTCCTCCCTCCTCCCCAGACCCAGCAGCTGGCACTTATCTGCTTTCTAGGCGAGACAGGGCAGGGCAGGGCAGGGCAGGGCAGAAGATTTTCGATTCCTTGCCAGATTCCCATAAGGAAACATTAAGAGAAAGCTTACAGGAAGTCACTGTTTCCACTCCTTTTTTGCCCACCCTTGTCATTTGTTTCTCTTTTAAGAGAATTTCTCTGTAACAATGACCCAAAGAACACGAGTTGTCCAGATTAATTTTCAGAAGTACTTCCAGGTTCTACAAAAGCCATAGTACAGGGAACATCTAAACAATCTCAAATCTCTTCTGACTGTTCATCAGATTGCCTGCCACTCTGCCTTAACATCTAATTGGGGCATTTAAAGCACTAACAATGAATGAGTTGCCTTCTAGGCTATAGGAGGAGACACAATTTAAAATGGGGCATCATTACCTCTAGTGAATCCTATTTGACGCCATTTATGCCCCAGGACCTGCATCCACCAAAGTCACTATTTATTCTATATACCCAGGGAAAAAAGTAAGAAGGGAAAAATATTACATACCATAATCTGTGATCTTACATGATACCAAATAAAGTTCTTTCAAATTCTGTCCTTCTTTAGCAATGACCTCCACACATCTGCAATACATACAAATCTAGATTAAACAAAGTTTGTATAGATTTTATTTGACTGAAAATCGAGTGGCTATTAGACTTTCGAATGTCATTGACTAGTGGATGAAATTTAAACTTTAGCTTAATGTGTATACATTCTGATATATTTCAAAATATATAGCTTCTCTATTTTTCAGAATTCCAAAAATTTGACATATTTTAAAATGTTCAATACTATAATGTTTTCTATCTCATTTTATTCTTAATTACAAGATATTAAAGAAATGGTTCCAAATTAGTAACATCTTACTATCTGCATTTCTAATATCTTAATATCTGCATTTCAATATTTTTTTTAAAAAAGACACTCAAAATTGTTTTTATTTTGAAGTATTATTATATTTTATTTTAAACATTTAATCAGATTACCTTGCAGTAGCTACCACTATAGATTTGGACTCTCAATTTTTTCTTGTATGCCTGAGTCAGTTTTACTGATGTCAGCAAACATTAGGGCTGAAATATGTTTACTTGTAGAATAATATTTTAATTGAAAAGAATATTTTGATTTTAATTCTCTTGTTGATTACTAGAAGAATGGTATAAATCTGAATTTTACATTATTTTGTTCAATTATATGAGATGAATAATCAAAACTATACATTTAAGCAATTGTAGAAATTTAAATATTTTCTTTTCATAGTAAACAATTATTTTATTGCTAAAACAGTTTACAATTCAAAACAGACAACAATTTTAATTAACTAATATTGTCTTCTACATTTCTCTCTATATTTATTATCCTGAAAATCATTTCAGTGACACAGAATTGTTTTTCTATTATTAAATGAGTATAGCTAGGGAAAACGGCAACAATGTTAAATTATAAACCAAATTATATTGTCTACTGTAAAGACCTTCACAAAAATTTAAGGCCGAAACATGTACTATTCAACAAATTATCAATACTATAGATAAGGTGAACTGCATTGCTTTTTACATGTTCTTCTAATCTTACTGATATCAGCTGATATTTAGTCGTATTAAAAGTAAGGTATATCTACAACAAGCCTTAAAAAAAGTTAAAGCACGGAATACTGCTATGTATTGTCACAAAATATTCTCAACATTCAATATATTTTAATGTTAAGCATACTGAAATGTCTTAAAATATATGACTTTTTGATATGTGTGCAAAATTTAAATGCTAAATATGTATTTAAAAATAATTTAAAAGGGATCCATTTTTCATTACAATTTGTACATTATTCTGAGAAGTCTTCCAAATGCTCAGTGTTTACCTATTGGATAAAATATGTTAATGAAACTGTAAAATACATGCTATCAAATTGAGTCAAAAGGAGTTTGAATTATGGGAAATAATTGTCTATTCTATATGCACACATAGTCTTTATGTTTTGGACTATCTTGCAAAAGCCTGGAACATGGCATTAGTGACAACTGAAATGAACTAATGAGGAAATATGACTACACAGCTTGCAAGAAAAGTGGTCCTTGGAGACCTTGTTACTGTTTGTGATGCATTTCAGCTAATAAAAGCTGCCAGACATTGGTTCAGAATATTTCACTTTTTTAAAAATGGAGTTTCAATCATCTTAGCAGTATGAAAGGAAATGACACAATTAGAAATAGAATCTGATGAGACTTGCAATGACTAGCTGAAAAACAGTTCTCTGATCACTGTTACTTTTACAGGAACTATAATTTTCTAAAGTGAAAAAAACTTTAAGATATAAAAAAGAAAACATGAACTGGAAAATATTTAACTCTAAAGATGTTTTATGTCTTTAACGCAAGAAAACATATATTTTGAGCTGAATGTATGTGCATATCATACCTATCATAATATTTCTTTGATGATCTGTAATCATTCGCTGGTAATTTACAATTGCTAATCATTACTGGTTTTCTGAAATTGAATGACATTTTCCCAGCGGTTCTTTTTCAAGAGAGCAACTGGACTTTATTTTTCTTGAAGAAGTTTCTTCTCATCCAAGACACCTCTTCAATTCAATCTCAATTATGGAGGATGGAAAGATTTATATTCCTTGCAGTCATCTGGTCGTTAGCACTCATTCTGAGAGTCATTGAGGCTACTTGGAGGTTTATCTGGGCCCTCAGGGTTACCTAAATAGTGCAAATAGGTGTGGAAATCTTGGAACTGCTGAAAGAACTGTGTTAAACAGGAGATACAATAGGTGGTATCATATCGCTTCCCCTTTATTGACATAGAGCTCTTCAATCTTAATGTAGATGGCTTCTTTGAACCCCCCCCCCTTTCAAACAGCAGTCCTCACTGTGCAGAATATGGCCTTTGCTGTCTTCAAAAGAGTGACCTTTGTCTTGCAAATGCAGATGGACTGCTGAATCTTGTCCTGATGGGTTTGTTCTCCTATATTGTGCCATGCATTTGTGAAGTGGTTGTTTTGTTTCTCAAATATATAGATACATGTCTTACTGCACTGTACTGCATAGATTAATTACACTGTTCAGTTTGGGTGTTTTTGTTCTTGGGATGGACAAGATTCTGCCTTAGTATATTTTTGGATTTAAAGTGTGTGTATATATGTAGCTTTTTGGATGAGAAGCAAAACATCTTCGAGGAAAAACAAAGTCCAGTTGTCTCTTGAAAAAGCACGTTTGGGACAACCATGACCTGGATGACTGAGACTCTCCACAGACATCTGAATGGAGTTGGATTTCTTATTGCTTCTCCCCATATTTTGTTTTCTATCTGCATGTTGGAATTTTTACAATTTTATCATCCATCATTCTACAGTTTTAAATAATTGGTATAAGGTTTTTTTTTAACTACAATTCATTACTGTTTACATTTAAGATGTTACTGTTTTTATTTATGCATCTCTATAAACGCCAGTATTTTCTATCTCACCAGCTTTAGTATCCTTGTGTCTAGTGTACTGAACATTCTCTTTACCAACTAGCTTATTTCCACTCTTCTAATCTGTTCCTCAGTTATCTACCCTTCTAGTCAACTCTCATATTTTTAATATTTACTTGGGTTTTTTACACCTTTCTTCCTGATACTTTTCCCTAAATCATGTACCCTATTTTTCCTATATTTATTCCTTCTATACTTTGACACCTTCAATAATTCCATTTCCATGATTAACGTGATAAACTTAAAAGAAATACTATTATAATATTTTAAATTTTAACCAATAAATGGACAGGAGACCTACATTCACACTAAGAAACAGTTTGTTACCCAAAGCTTTAACATAATGAAGAAGCTGCTCTCACAATTTGATATAGACCAACTAGATATTACATTCCAGAATCAAGAAAATACAGAGGAACTCGATCTGCAGCCAACATCTAAAGCTGGAACATCACTGTCATTCCCTCCAGTACAAAGCACAGCAGTCAATATGAGGCATGCAATCATAGATAAATTAACTACAGGAAACTCTTGAAACTAGTTACCAAGATTCAGTGAAGATGTACATGGCAGAAGATGTCAATAGAATCCCTATTACCACTACAACTCAAACCAACGAACTAGTATATGCTACAGCTGATATAATCCTGGAGATTTTTGGCTACACGATCTAGAAGAACAGCAACACATACACCACCATTACCACCGCTTTGGAAAATGAGGTTGATCACTAATATCAAGGCAACTCAAAGAGAAGTTAGTCAGTGGTAGAATTACAGTGATATGGCAATTAAGGATACGAGTCAGAATGGAAAAATACAAGAATCTGATTCCATCTGAAGCCCTAGAACATGGGTGTCAAACTTGCTGCATCACATTGTCATCACGTGACATTTCATGATGTTTTCCCCATTCACGGAGCTGGGGTGGACGTGGCCTGCATGTGATGTATCTGGCCTGTGGGGCACCAATTTTACACCCCTGCCCTAGAGACTGCTAAAAGGCTCACAGCACTTGGCTACCAGACTAAGGTGACAAGCAGAGACCAAGAAGGTGAATGTCCTTCTCTCCAAAAAGCCATCCACGATGCACCCTTAACTGCAATGTAACAGTAGAGCCACCAACAGCAGAAACTGAACTGAATTCCTTTCCTTATATTAACCAAATTCAAAAATCCCAGCAACCAGTTCGCTGCCCACCTACCAGAACATCCTGCTTCTGGCAGGCCTCCAGAGCCCGGGGGAGGCCGTTTTCACCCTCCCAAGGGTCCAGAGGCCTCCTTCAGGCCTCTGGGAGAGCAAAAACACCCTTCCACCGGGCTCTGGAAGCCCTCTGGAAGCCGGAAACAGATCTGTTTCACGACTTCCAGTTTTTCGGAGAGGGCTGTTTTTCGCCTTCCCAAGGCTCTGGAGACTTTCTACAGGCCTCCCCTGGGCTCTGGAGGCCCTCCAGATTTCCAGAAGGCCCGTTTTTTCCCCTCCCAGAGCCTCCGCGTGGACCCTGCACTTACCTCCATCGAAAATGGGCCATGTGTAGAGTCCTGGGCGGGGAGGGAATGGGTGGGGAGGGGCCAGCCGGTTGGTTGAAATACCAGTTCAGCGAACCAGATCCACTTCGCCCGAACCAGTTCAAACTGGTAGAATCCCACCTCTGGATAGGAGCCTGCTGCTCATAGCTGGTTCACCAGGTATTCATGCACTACTGTTAGTTTTGTTACCCATTAGGTGCGGATCATATTCAGGCCAAGTGCTATCCAGCTTTTGGTATTCTTGATCTAAACCAAATCTATTGTTGGATTAATGCTATTATTATGGTGACTGGTTCCTGTTCTCAGAGATTGCTGTGGTCTGCTCTTAGGTCCTGTAGCCATTTTGCTTCTTTTTCTTTCATGTATTCTTCCAGTACAGTTCAATTTCTGCTTCTCTAATGTATCAACTTAGTCTAATAGCCAGTGCTGTGGGATCTAGGACAACTCACTGTAGCTGTCAGGGCCTCATCAGAGCCAGGTTTGGAAGAGGATTTGGAACTGGGACCATCCAACAGGGATGACATGTCTCCTTTGGAATGTTTGGAGAAACGAGGGGCTGAGGACAATGGTGCC